ATTAAAACTAGTTTTAGTGAACCCTAATCGACATTTGATTTCGGAAAATCGACTATACATAATATATCATATTTTACGCAAAATTGTAAAATTTCCAGGGATTTTGTGCCTAAACGGTTGACTTTAGCGAAAATTTTCATAAAACCTTTTTTATAGGAAATTTTATTTTTTATAATTTTGCTTTCCTCAAATTTTCACGAAAAACACATAGTTTTCGAGATATTCATAAAATACCGATTTTGGGCGCCATCTTGGCAAGATGGCGGCGCCGGCGGCGGCAAGTCTGGAAATGTGCATTTTATGGATTTTAGTTAGGGACCCCAAAACCTATAACCCTGCAAAGTTGCAAAACTTCCGGACTTTTTTCCAAGCAAAAATCCCCAATGACTGAACTATTTCGCGCACCGTGTCATTGTAACGTAGGTGCAATTTCGCACATTGCTATCAATTCGCAAATATTGTCATTTTTTCACGTTTGTAGAAAAAGTTTTTGCATAGTTGATTTTTGATAACCGTACTCTTTACCCGCGTTTTAAATAATCTATATAGTTAAAGCTGTCCATTAAAAATTCAATTTGAAAAATCGGTTTTAAATGCCTCCGTTTTCCGTATGCGAAAGATTATTGTCGACCAGAGAATACCAGTTTAATAGGACAAATATTAGCGGCGCGGTGCACTAGTTAATGTTCCGACAGCCCTAATCTCTTTCGAACTGCCAGAGAATGCGGTCGGGCATCAACTGCGATAGTTAATGTCGGAATCAACGTCGTCGTCATGCTAATTTTCCTTTTTTCAACTGAAATGAAAACTAAATTCGATAAAGAGAAAATTTAATAAACTGTTCAGTATTTTTTTTCAGTAACTTTTTTTCCGATTTAGCTGAAATTTTGAATGCGCGTATAAGTAATTTAGGATTCGAACCCCTGCCTTACTACGGCTCCAACGTCATAGCACCGTAAAGTCCTAACGCTTTAAACCACACGGTCACCGACGACTTAAAAACTTGGACCTATGTAAAATTCTTACTTAAAAGATAATGTTTAGTGAAAGTACTTTTAGTATTGAAAATACTTCTGGCCGCGTTTATATGGGACCCATCTTTGAAAAAACGACATGCTCGATGCCACACGAGTTCAATAACCTGCCTAATCAACTTGTCAACACGTAAGTCGATAGTTTAGCCGTTGATCATCGAAGGACGTTTGAGGGCCGAAATGTGGTCTTATTAATTTATCAGTGTATGTGTGTGTGGGCCAACTATTTTATGGATTTGGATGTTTGTCTGGGCCAGCGGATAAAGAAAGCCCATATTATTATAAAAAAGAATATGCGTCAAGGCATATGGGTTGTTAGGTAGTTTGGCTATTTTAATCTAACTCTTTCCGTATAAGAAGCAAGGGGCAAATTGTACGTGAAAGAGTGGAATCACATAAATAATAAATTTAGACTAATGCAATATTTTTCTTGGCGCGTAGGATAGATAATTAAAGGGAATAATTAATTAAATCATTAAGTTCCAAAACATAATAACTCGGATCTCATCGGATCTGCTGATACATTTTGCTAAAATTTAGGCTATTAGTATCTATATTTTTTATGATTATTATTTTTTTAATTAACAACTTAGGCCAAAGAAAAAGCTTGCATGGTTTCCACCGCCAACAGGCGTAAAAACACATGAATCCAAGGCGTTGCTAAATATTTATTGGGATAAGATTTTATCCTTTGAATATTGTTGTAAATAATAATTTATTATCACTTAATTAGTGCTAACTTATCAAAGTTCACAACATGGCGAAATTTCAACAAAATCGGCCAACAGATCTTTGGAATATTAATAAAAAAGGCCTATTAGAAAACACCTTGACCCTTGTATCTTTAAAATTATACATTTCCGGACACATGTTTATATGAACTTTTTACCTTAAAACACTCAAAGAATCACCTCCTGAAGTTTGGCCAGGCTAGGACTGCGTAACTAGTAATTAAAACTTAACAATTTTTTTTTACTTGTTAAGTTTTAATTACTAGTAGATATTTTTCTGGTCATTCACGTTGCACTTTAACTCTTCGTTGTGTCACACACAATCTACATTTCGGATATGATGCAGAACTGATAAATTGGATTAAATATATTAATTGCAAGGTACGCAAAGAAATATTTTTGTTAACTTTGCAAATACTTAAGGCATGCAATAATTACGTATAGTAGACTTAGAGATTACTTCATAATTCTTGGAAGTCTTGAATTATTATGGGTCTGTTTTGTTTAAGAAGCTAACAAATAATTTCAAAAACTCAACTATCAAAATATATTGGTAGCAAATTTTTAAAAGTATGCATAGTTATAATGTTCTATATTAATTGGACATCTGAATGTAAATTAGGTATAGTTGTTGACATCGATAATATATTTTGCTGCTTATTTTCAGCACAACAAAATCCGTTATGATGAACGAAAAAAAAAATACCGCTATTCATATTATGGGCACCTATGTATTTTTTAATTTCATAATGATGTTTAAAAATACATAGGTACATACTATGAGTAGTGGTTGTGACGGTTTTTTATTAGGCATGATGAAAAGAAGCTGCAAACTAAATTATCGTTGGAGCCAACTATATTTTAATTTATTTTTATCTGCAGTAACTATGCACGGTAGGGGTTCAAAATATGCCTATACTGTGAGACAACTCCATTCGAGTATAAATTAACATTTACATTTCAAGTATCTTCTTGGTCTACCGGCGCGGCACCCCGTTCACCCTTATTCCCTCATTTCTATAAAAAAATATTATGATTTATAACTTTTAATAATTTTTATTGTGAAAATTGGTGAAAAGTATTTTTTTTTGTACGGCGGATATAAATTTATAGGCCATCTATAAATTTAAATTTACACCTAAGTTCGAATATTGGTTAAACCTAGGAATACCCAGGTAATACCCCGAAATATGCAAAAGAAGGAGTGAGTTTAGGTTAGATTAGAATTAGGTTTTAGTTGGTTTTGCATTAAAGTGAATTACAAAATTTTTTGTATATCATTTTTAAAAAAATATTTTAGATCTTTAATAAAAAATATAGACCTAATCTAAACTTAAGCTAAACTGACCCCCTTTTTGCATATTTTGGGCTCCTACGTGGGTATAGGAGCCCGTCATAGTGTCGTGACCGTGATCGTGACCAATCACGAATCCGCACACGTTCATATCCATCATTAATATTTTCCTCACTAAATTCTTCACTTTTGCACAAAACCATCACGATAAAAATCAAATATCAAAATTATTTAACGTTGCGAACGTTAAACTTGTATACGTATCTGGAATATATTTGTGAATAGCGATCAATGATACGTTTACGTTAGACTGCCGGCGTGCTGACGTCACGAATGTCAAATTGCTTTCCAACGAACAAGGTTTAGTTCTTTTATATTTCTATTGAGCTCTCCCAAATGACGCTACAAATTAATATAAAATGTAAAAAACAGGTGATTTTCAATACGCCTATGATGGTTGCGCATGTTGCAAAATCTGTGATTTTTTTATTTATAAACATTTATTTAATTCTGTTTTTAGTATTTGTTCTTATAGCGGCAACATAGATACATTATCTGTAAAAAATTCAACTGTCTAGCTATAACGGTTCATAAGATAAAGCTTTGTGCCAGACGGACGGACGCCGGACGGACGAACGGACACCGAAGTCTTAGTAATAGGGTTCCCGTTTTTACCCTTTGGGTACGGAACCCTAAAAATGAAAATATCTAGGAAAATCTTTGTTTGAGTGGTAGATAACCTTAATAATATTTTGAAGAGACATTTATTCCCCATTGAATATCGGAATAATATACTGGGTGTTCCACTTAAAATAAAAGAGTAACGTGCTTTTAAAGGTTACCATTGTTCAATATTAATTTTTGTCTCCCCCTGTATAACTTTTTGGATCAAGTTTTAATTTGATTTAAAGTACAATAGTTAATTTAGCTACATATTAGACTATACCAGGTAAATTCCAATTTATGTAGCCTTTATTTCTAGAAAATGTTAAATATGTCAAAAAACTTACATTTTAGTCATATACTTCTCTTATAAAACTCACCTTTATTTTTCTCCCAGAATCCGAAAATTAATTATTAATATATTATTATAGGGTGTTCCATTACAGAAAACACAACTTTGATATGTAACTTTTTTTGGGGACACCCTGTAGAACTCTCTATATTTTTAAAAATATATGCTCACAAAATTTCATTTCAATACAAACTGTCGTTCTCATTGGAGCATCCGCGGCGTATGAGACGCCAGCGTGTACAAATAAACTCAGAAGAGACCGCTTCGATTAATTCCAGTTTTCTACCTTTTTCTCGACTGGAAAGTCAGTAACCGGTAGCGACTAGAGAGCTAACTTTTAATCCATAAGGATATTTCGAGATTTTTCATTTTTTCCTTAGGTTATAAGCTTAGAGCTACCTAAAATTCAAAATTTGAAGTTTGTAGCTCTTCTAGAAGTACCTACCTTAGAATTTTGATGATGTGTCAGTGAGTCAATGTCGAAATTAAAGAAATTTGACAAGCGATAATTCATAAATTATGAGGTATAATTACTAGATATTTTGTTAATCTAGCCAGCTATAGTATGTCCTTATGTGCAGTGAAAATTAATATTCTTGCTTTATTCACAACGAAGTTACAGGGTGGTGAAAAGTGCCGCTAATACCTTCGAGAAAAGGATGAGTGTATCAGATAAGTGTCTTTAAAAACGTATTATTTATTTATTTATATTATATAAAATATATACGAGGAAAGTATTATTTACTTGGATATGCAATAATCAAAATATCATTTTACAATTTTAAGTCTATTATCACTTAATGTTTATAGTGTAGTAAAAATCTAATATTTTTAGTAAATCTGGTTTACAATACCGGATTAACTTAAAGATATCTTGAGTTGTAAATAGTTTCTGTGGAGTATATTTACAAAATTAGCCGAAAATATTTTGCAGTACAATCTTTGACATTAATCGACATGAATGTACCTGTAATAATAATCACTTCAGTTTTGGTAAGTTAACATTTAAAATATAGTACATTCCTCTTATTTGTCCTTTATGTAAGAAATACAAAAAAACAAGTTAGTTAAAGAGTTTCTTCTAAGAATGTTACCAATTTTAACACTTTGTGTTAACACAAAATATTTATATTCAATCACAGTAGTTAGATCATCTATAATAATTTACAAAAGATAAACTAATATTACTTTATAGACATGACTTGAGACGTAAATTATTTTCATAGCAACGAATATTTTAAATGTCTATGCAATACTTTCCTGTCATTAACACACTCGGTCTAGAAATTATAAATTGCTATTTATATTTGAAATAAAAACCATATGTAGCCTTTATTTTGCTTAACAAAGGGATATTTTTTTCGCGTCATTCAAACCTACATGTTTTCTAGTATTTTCCATACAGTCTCCTTTATTTTTACATCACATCATATGATCTATTTAAATTTAAATTTTAAAGAATGGGATTATTACACATCGCCTAATAATGTCTATATTAATATACCCCCCTGTCCATGATTTCTGTAATTTTCTCTAAAAATTCACAAAAATAAGTATTGGGAAATTAGTAAACGGTTGATTTTGTACCATGTGTTGCATCGTCCCAACCTGGACATAAAAAATTTCATGTAAATTTGTACGTAAAAATGATGAATAAGTTTTCCCCACTTAATTTTACAGAAAAATGTATTTGAAACCTTTTTAAGAACTCCTTAAAATGAAGCAAATTGTTCACTTTGAATTGTTTACACGAATCCGTTCTTGTGTTATTAGATATACAAAAATACAAAACCAATACAAAATAAAATGCAACTTTGTTAATTTGCACAGATGTTGAACGGCAACCATGTTTCATTAGTTACTGATTTATTTTCCTTAAAATAAAGCAACAGAAACATCGAAACAAGGATCTAGACAGCTTGAAGTTAAAATTAACGAATTTAATTTTTTTATTTCCATATTAATGTTATATTATATTTAGATGGACTAGAAATACCAACATTTTTTGTGTAGCGTTGTAGATTTCCGTCCTTATGTTATACAGGGTGGTCCGAATTGTATTCCGGAAACTTCGATAGCATATCCTGCACATTAAAATAAGTAAAAAAGTTTCTATAAATGTTTGTCCTAAAACGCTTAGTTTCGGAGTAAGGTACGGACGAAAAGTTATTACTCTTCAAAATAGTTAAAACACATGTAGGTGGCGCCCCCTACAAATCGGAGTCATATTGACATCAAAATCAAATTTCTCATGTCAAAAAACTCCCAGACACCAATTTTAATCCAAATATTGATGTTACTTCAGAAATTATTTGGAAAAAATCGAAATAAAAATGCACATTCTACACCATGTATAGTCTGTCCAACGAGAAGATCCTTGACAGTGATAGATGTGTCTGTCATTTTAATTTCAAAGTAATTTATTTTATTTTACAAAGAAATAAGTTGGTACAACTGGAACTCATAGCAGGAAATTAATATATTTAAAATTTGACTGACAAGGACAAGTGATTACTTCAAAATGTTGTGAAAAAAACTGTATAAAACTGAAAAAATATAATCGAGTTATTTTATTTAATAAAAAACGGTATGTGTTAATACAAAACAAACAAGAACAAGACGCCACATACAAAAAAATATAAAAAAGAACTATTTCTTACTTTCAAGCTTTATGAAACTTCCCGCATTTGTGATTATATTTATCAATATAACTTATGTACAAATACAAATTTGTAATATTCCGCAGGAATAAATAAAACAACATAAATAAAACAAACTATTTTATTAATAATAACATTTACCAAACTTTATATCTTAAAGGTTAATTAATTAACTTTAATCTTAATTTTTTTAAACCAGTAGGTACCTTTTGACATTGTTTTTCTGCAGTACTAAAATCCATTATTTACCTATCGTGTGATGTTGATATTTTATAGCTACTCCAGTTTTTAGTATGTGTTTAGTATGGTCGTCCTACCATATTCGAGATGCACTTATCTACGACGAGATGGTATACGAACTTTATTGATGGTAACTTTATTGGTGTATAAGACTTTCTGCCTGGGCAGCGAATATTAACCATAAACTGTGCTCTGGGTCTACAGTTAATTTTCACTCGATTTTTCCTCCGCTTGATTTCAAAAGACACAAAACACACGTAATAACACGAATCAAAATGCATCATCTTCTAATTAGTATTTGACTAAGCAGTATTTGACTAAAAGTTGACACAAAATTCTAACCTATAATTTGGCAAGACTTTGACAAACGTCAAAAATCTAAAAGCGAGTTCATACGCATCGGCGTCCGTTTGTCGTTTATCGTTCCGTCAAACCAATAAAATTGAAATACGATCTGTCATTTTTGAAATAAACCAATAAAACTGGTTAAAAACAACAAGAGACCACGCATGACGGATTTATAATTAAACTCATCCATAGTTAACTTAAAAATTATTAGAAACTTTTTTTAGTTAAATAATTAGATTGGTATGGGACGTCATCTGCTTTTCTTCTGTCATCGTCTGTCGAAATCTTACTTGAGAAAAAAAAACAGAGTATATCTCCAAAACTAAGCATTTTAGGACATACATTTATACGAACTTTTTAACATATTTTTATCTGCAGAATATGCTGCCGAAGTTTCCGGAATACAGTTCGGATCACCCTGTATATGAACTGACTTTCGCAGGTTTAGGACCAAGAATTAATAAACCTTTTATTTCAAAAATTGCCGTCGTTTCGACATGTACTCTCGTTCTTTGTCAAGCTGAAAGTAGCCTTGAAAAAGACGAGAATGCACGTCAAAACATCGGCAGTTTTTTAAATCATTATTTTCAGCTTATTTTCAACCATTTTCTCCCTCCTATATTTAGATACTCTTTTTGTAGTTGGGTCAATTGTTGTCTATTGTTGGCTATGCGGTCCCAAGTTATCCCTGCTAATTTTCTAACGTCATTGTCCCATCTCAGGTTCGGTCTAGGTCTCTTAATCCCTAGTGGGTACCATGCTGTAGTTTTTGTGGTCCATCTGTTGTCCGTCCTTCTTGCCAGGTGCCATGCCCATTACCACTTGAGGGATTTGTCTCTGTAGATGACATCTATTACCTAGGTCTTTTGTCGTATCCATTCTATTGTTTTGCGGTCTCTCTTGGTTATTCCCAGCATATTTCGTTCCTTTGAGCATTGTGCGACCTGCAGTTTCCTTATGATGTCTGTTTTAAGGTTGATTCTCATTATGCCTTCAATATCAGCTCCCTTCCGTTTACATAAAATATTATATCATATAAATAAATAGGACAATGTACACTATCCGTTCCGTTTCCCTTCCGTTCCATATCCTTTCTTTCCATTAATTTGGTTGGCGGACGGACTGAAGCGTATCGGAAAGAGCGTTGTCAAGTTCTTACATTTGTACCAGCTCTGTTAAAATTTTGCAGATATTTATTTATTCTTTCACCTCTTAGTTAAATCTATTAGCTTTTTCAAACGATACAAATTTTTAAATAAAACTTTCGTAATGATATAAATTGTGCAATAAAGAGTATGGAACTGATACGGAACGGAGGCAATATGTATAGCGTCAATACAATAAAAAATACGGATATGGAATAGAAACGGAAGGTATAGTGAGAATCAACCTTTAAGGTTCATTCTCCTATACCTTCCATATCAGCTCCCTTCCTTTTTTAAATAAAAGCTTGTTTATTTTCTAGTCCTGAACCTGCATATTATGCCTTTTCATTTTTTTTTATTTATATATGTGGTATAAAATATATATTACATACACTCACAAATAATGGCAATGTGCCTGTTTTTGGTAGATATAGTAAATATTATTGAAAAATGTTTCCAAGTAAAACGTATTTTTGATTTTAAAAATCGAACAAAAGATAACAGCAAATATTTACCAAATTTAACGAATTGGTGATATATTTTTTAAATATTTGCTGTTACATTTTTGCCACAAACAAATACTAGCTAGGTGAAAAGACGATTGCTATACATATAAAAAATACTGATGTAAAAATAGTAAAAAGGATTACAAAAAAGAATATCTGAGTTTTTGTGTAGAGTATACTGCAGATATTATAGAATAGGATAGAAAAAAAAACGGCGTTGGCGATGGCTACGAAATGAAGATTGCTTTTATTTTATATGTAAAATTATGTGGAGAATGTCATCGATCGTTTTTTTCGATCATGCGGTATATACGTTACAGCTAAAATGAATACTTGACTAGTTTTAAAGCAAACCAGCTATTTTTCAAATTAACTTAATATACAGGGTGTCCCATTTTCGTGGGTTTTATGGGGTTTCTCGTTTTTGAGTAGAGATACAAAGATGCGGTTTTTACATCAATGAACTACTTTTTTTTAAATTCTACACACATATTTTTCCCAGCTGGTTTCTAAAATACAGAAAATTTTTGAAAAAGTTGCATTTTTTGACCTCCCTTGTATCTCAGTTATCTTATAACTTATCGAAAAGATAAAAACTGAGTTCATAGAATTTTTCACGTAGAACTCAGTGCCGTAACTAGGTTTGCGCTGGGAGCTACCAAAGTAGCATTTTCACGACTTGCAACCACATGTTTACTAAACACAACGTTGGATTAGTTACAAAAAATAGTTAGCTCCCTACCTTGGGTATTAAAATAAATTTAAACGTTTTTATAACGTTGTGCCGACGTTGGACTAGTACTACAGCAAAGTAGAAGCTTCTGCGACGTCGAATAAACGTTGTCTTGTAACCTTTTTTGCTTAAGTGATCTTTAGGTGATTCGGACAACGTAGTTATAACGTTGGAAAATATTGAGTTTTCCGACGTCAGTTTCAGGACCTATTCCAACGTTATGCAAACGTCGTCTGTTTTGCTAATTCCAACGTTGTTTAGATTTCCTTATTCTTACGTTGGTAGGACGTCGAGTCACTACCTTTTTGCAACTGTATTGAACCATAACCTTAAATCTTAAATTTTCACTTCATTGTTCTGTTCAGTCAGACAGTTCAGTGCTGTTTTTGTTTTTATAAAAAACTTAATTAAAATGGGACATAAGAAGGGTACATATAAAACTAAATTTAAATATACATCGACATATATTACCGATAGTTTATCCACTCCCTCGTTTATTTAGATTATAGAGGGCGGCACAAGCTAGACTCTAAGATGACTAAATTAGGCAATCTTGCGTCTAGTATACTACCTGTTAAGGCCAAACTGCGACTTTATTAGTCCAGTATGCGACTACTCGAACTACTCCATCTTAATCTCCAAAACAACAAAGTGAAAGCCGCCATGTTGTTAAATAAGAAAATGTTTCGTTCCTAAAATAGCAATTCCTGCTTTTGAATACATTAACTTGAAATATTTGACCCCAAAAACACGCGAAAACAATTTTTTCGACTGCGAATAAATTATTCTCATTTTACTAAAAAAAAAAATTAAGAAAATTTTTAAAAGTTCTTTAATTTTAAGGCCCATTAGTATTTTTCAAAGTAGAAACAATACATTTATCAATAAAGTTGTTTGCGTTTAACTTTTTTGCCTTGGGTAACGAGTTACAGAGTCGGTTAAAGTGTTTCAATAATTATGATCTTCAAACATCCTCCACACTTAAATACTTTTGTTTTGTTTTCCTTCACTGCCATCTGACATATGTCAACCAAATCAAACCAAACTAAATCATAAAAATAATATTTTTACTATAATTATCCCAATTTAGGATAAAACGCGACTTAGACGCCATATTAGTTTTGTATTTCTATGAATTAGGATTTTAAACAACGTTGCAGTTTGTACTAAATTAGGCTTCTAGCCAACGTCGGTATCCAACGTCGTTTCGACCCAAAAATTATTCTCCAAACTAGTGCAGACTAGGGTTGGCACGAGGTTGTGCCGACGTTGCGCCCCGACGTTTGGTCGCGTGACACAACGTTGTCCCGACGTCCAAATGCTGCTTGGGTATCGTCCTCAAACATATAATAAAACATATTATGCAACTAAACTAACACAATTCAATTACAGTTTGCTGTATTGCAAATACATCACAACCCAGTAAATTCACAAGTACCATCCAATTGTACCAACTCTTCAGATAGATGGGAGACTACAGAGTGCGATTCCTACTACGCCTGCGTGCAAGTCTTGTGGAACTACTACGTTGTCCTCATCAACTGCACATCAGGAGTGGGCTACAATACAACTTCCGGAGCTTGCGATGAAGATATCGCTTGTAATGGTTCTACTACATCGACTACATCAACTACTACAGTTGCTACATCAAGTGTCACAGGTCCATCGAGTTGTAGTAACAGCTCCCAAACGTGGGAAGCAGAAAACTGTAATCAGTACTACGGGTGTTACTTAGCTCTAGGCAATTACTATGTAGTTTTGGTGAATTGTACTTCTGGGTATCAATACGATACATCTACGGAAAGTTGCGTCACTAGTACGACTTGTTCTTTGTGATTTTAATTTTTGAATGTAGGTAGATATACAGGGTGGTCCGAACTGTATTCCGGAAACTTCGGCAGCCTATTCTGCAGATAAAAATAAGTAAAAAAGTTCGTAAAAATGTATGTTCTAAAATGCTTAGTTTCGGAGATACAGGGTGTAGAAGTTTCATTTTTATTTCGATTTTTTCCAAATAATTTATGAAGTAACGTCAATATTTGGATGAAAATTGGTATCTAGGAGTTTTTTGACATATGAAATTTGATTTTGATGTCAATATGACTCCTATTTGCAGGGGGCGCCACTTACATGTGTTTAACTGTTATGAAGAGTTATAACTTTTCGTCCGTATTTGTATAAAACTACTGAGGAAAAAAATATACATTTCCGTGATTTTTAACGTAAAAAACATCTCTTGGTAAAAATCGCTACGAGCAACCGTTCTCAAGATATTTAGAATGGAAATAGTCATTACATGACATTATTGAGAAAAAATAAACATGTTGAGTAGATAGTTATTTGACTGATATAATAAATTAGGAAAAATTTTATTTTTTTAAATTAATCATAAATTTTTCTACGAAAAAACGATAATAAAACAGTTTCTGTTGTTCAACTTTTCGCACAAAAACATTTCAAATTTATGATTTCAGTCTAATAACTATTTAGTCAACATATTTAATTTATATCAATCATGACAGGTATTGATAATTTCGATTCCAAATATCTCGAGAATCATTACTCGTAGCGATTATTACCAAGAGTTTTTTTTACGTAAAAAATGTCATAAATGTATATTTTTTACTCAGTAGTTTTATACAGGTACGGACGAAAATTTATTACTCTTCAAACCAGTTAAAAAGGATGTAGGTGGCGCCCTAAGTAGGAGTTATATTGACATTAAAATCAAATTTCTCATGTCAAAAAACTCCTAGATATCAATTTTAATCCAAATATTGACATTACTTCATAAATTAATTGGAAAAAATCGAAATAAAAATGAAACTTTTACACCCTGTATCTCCGAAACAACTAAGCATTTTAGGACATAGATTCATACGAACTTTTTTACTTACTTTTATCTGCAGAATATGTTGCCAACGTTTCCGGAATACAGTTCGGACCACCCTATATTGTAAATTATTCATTATAACTCAAGTGCCTTTGTTTATAGAATGTATTTTAATACAAAAATACTTAAAACTAGAAAATATTTAAAACGCCCTATATTTTATAATATTAAAGTTAATCCTCTATTAAAACAATATCCAATTATCAATAAGATTACACTTTTAGTTATATGATATTTTTGTATACATGCATTTTGTATACATATTTTTGTATAGATATAATAATTGTAACTTCATAAATTACAATAAATTGTTACTAAAACTATGTTTGAGATGTGTTTTCGTTTTATTCAAAAGCCATATTTGACATAAAATTTTATTGACCTCAAATTATGTTTTCATTGTATTCCTTATTCTACAGGGTAAGTCTTAAATAAGTGCAAATATTTTTAGAGGTAGTATATTTCTACCCCAGAAAAACATTCTGAAAATGTGGAATTTATTGAAATTTTTTTTGAAATTTTCTTTAGTTCTTAGTTAGAAAACATAGTTTGTTGATAATATGACAACATAGGTAGTAGATTAATTTTACTAGAAAGAAAACCTAGAAAAGATCCAGTGGTTCTCAAAATTAGAGCAAAAAATCATGTTTATTTTAATTTTCAAGTTAAAATAACTCGGTTATTTTGAATTTATTTGGAAAACGGTAAAGAGAGAATATGTTTTTTTTTATCGAGATCTACCAGCCCTGAAAATATGTACATCATCATACAAAATAAAACACTAATTCATTACAATTTACTACACAATTTTACCGTTTGCTATTGCACTGAACCCGCGTTTTACTAACCATTTTAGCATCATTAGCAGAGGATTAAAACTAAACTAATATCTACAAATTGAGCGTTCATCTGACGCCCAGTTGGCACCGAGCAAGCGTGGCAAAACTAGCTAAGCGAGTCAAAACCAACCGAGCATAATCATTAATTACCGAAACTAGAGCACAACAAACAGGAACAGAGAACTGTAAGAAATTGAACTATTGTCTCTGTTCATACTATCTTTACATTTATTAATTTTGGCGCTCTCATATTGTAATTTAAGACTTACTAAATTATTAATATCTGTGCTATGTATGTATGTGTCTTTATCAACAATATATTGAGCAACGCAAAATTTATAATAATAATAATAACCTGAGCCATATGTTCTTGAAATCTACTTAATCAACAAATTAATTGGTAACTATTCGTAACTTGCCCTATTTTTGACTTTTTTTGAACGAAACTTGACTTTTGACAAAAAAGTCTTTTGAAGGTTTTGAAAAATCAAAACAGTTTTACTTCTAAGATGAAAATCAAATTTCTTTGTTTTTATAAACAGCCAAAACTAAAGTGTAAAAATTATTCCAAAATTTAAGACAAAAATTAACAAATACTTCATTAATTTTAAATCCAATATGGACGGAAATTAAAATTTCAAACTGTATACAAAAAAGACGGTGGTAACATTCGGTACAGTTGGGGTAAATACATAAAATTGCAATATTGCACTTTAAAGGATGTGCTATTTGCCAATCTGGTGCAGTCCCAAATGTGTCAAATTTAGCAAGCTCAGCGTGGAGTTCTCTTGAAAATAGTTTATTTTTCTATTTAACAAGACACCTCTTTTACTGAAAATTCCTACATTCACTTCTACGTTAAAGGAAATTCAATTATTTGCGCTTAAATTGTTTTTTTGTTATTTCTAAATCAGTATTGATTAATCTCCACACAGGGCAAGCCTTCGAAAAATTTGGACAAAATCCGTACGTCATAATTTTTAGCGATATAAGAGCAAAAATAGTATATTGTTTTATTAGGAGTAAAAATTATATTTTTTGTGGTGAGGTTGTGGAGTGGACGTTTGACATACAGATGAGGACACAAAAAATCATTTTTACTCTGAATAGAACATGCTATTTTTTTTAAATGCCACAAATATTTTTTTAAACAATTTCAAACATTCCAAATAATATAAAAAGATTTAAAAGTAATACCTTGTAAGTAATTATACGTATATCGGGAAACTATGGTTACGCTCGTTGAATTTGACACTATGACAGTTTTAATATATTTCGTACCATTTCGTACTTTTGTGCTATGCCGTAAAAGTGCTTTATTTTTATGCCTAGGCGTTATAATTGCTTTTGTGTGTTGTCAGTCACGTCGCAAAAATTAATACTTTTGTGACGTTTGAAAAAAAAATACATTTACGACTTTCAAAACTTAAAACTTACAAAGTAAAACAATGAATTTACACTGCTGAATTTGTCAACAATTTTTTAAGGAACTCAATTTATTAAAACTAATATATTATTTTGCATTATTGTCACATTTCTTAATGGAATATTAAAATCCGGACGCTTATAAAAAATCCGCCCGGACTCAACCGGACGTAATGAAAATCCGGACGTCTGGTAACCCTATTTATTGGTGTATAAAACTCTCTGTCTGGGCACCGAATATTAACTATAAACTCTGGGTCTACATTTAATTTTCTATCGATTTTTCCTCCACTTATCTTCAAAAGACACAAAACACACGTAATAACACGAATCAAAATGCATCATTTTCCAAAAAACGCAGGTTATTTGACATAATTTGACACAAATCATACACAAATTATAACCTGTCATTTGGCAAGACTTGACAAATCTCAAAAATCTTAGGGTGTATTCTGTTGCTTACCTTGGTTGTGGTTTTATGTTCCGTTTCTATCGGTTTCCTGAAAGTTTTCTTATTACGGAACACGGTTCCTGAAAAATTCGGTTGTAACTGTCACCAAACTAACCAGCGCGAGGAGGCTGGTTTTTCTGGTTTTGTTTGTCAATCAATGTCATTTATGTGAAATCAAGCAAATATTGGAAGTTCGAGTGAAATTATCATTTAATTTCTAAAATTTGTAATAATATTTTATATTTACATCCAAAAGCAATGGAGGTAGGCAGTAAAGGTAAATAAATTTCATTAGCTAAATAGAATGACTTTTTAGGACCATTTAAACTTATCATGCAGCCATTCATTCTTAAAGTCAGGAACATTTAAAGAAAACATGAAAAACAAGATTACAACAATGTTTTTTAAGCTATAAAAATATAAATATTAATTATTAGATTTCTTTATTTATTATTGATCTGTTTTAATATTGGACCTGCAAATCTTCACTTGAGCTGTCTAACGAGTTTAACAGTTTATTAATAAAGTACTTTTCAATATTAAACTCGATTGAAAAGAAGAAGCAAACTTAAAAGCAGAGAATAGGTACATTAAAAATGCATAAAAGACATAGACAAACAAATAAAAAGGGACTGGCAAATTAAATGGCAAAGAGAGGAACAACGTTCCCGTAGCGCAACTCAGAACGCAAAATTTCGTTCTATTTATGTTGATCTGCGCACTGCGTCTATTGGGCCCACTATCTCATTCTAATATAACAAGAGAGAAAGAAGCAGCGATATAAAACGTAATTTCTAAATAGAAATTAGAACAATCGCCTTTCGTTTTCGTTATCATGACAACCAAGATGACAACATCATGACAATTCGTCATATTTGTCATAGATAAATGCATAGATAAATGCAACAAGTTTAGATTGGAAAGCCCGTAAAAATTTTGGATCGCGAAATTATTTTGGGTCGCGACCGTTATACGCGATCTGGCGCTGCTATAGCGGTCGCTAAGAACAACGGCAAACAAAAACAGAAATAATTTTCTCTTGTCAAAGTCAGAATCTTCAGCCGAGACGACGACCATTCGTGCCATGAACCTTGGTACGTCTGATGTCGAGGATGGAGAGCTGGCCTCTGTGGAGCCGTCTCAGATACTGGCTTTTCTTAAAGCCCTGAGACTGTATGATGAGTTATAACTCGTTATAACTCAAGAAAGGGGAACACACATTAGATCTATAAGGTCGCGGTGATTAACTCCCCTCCTAAACATTCTACATTCTCTCTACAAGAACAACGGCAAACAAAAACAGAAATAATTTTCTCTTGTCAAAGTCAGAATATTCAAAAATCATAATAATCTTTCAAAATCTAAACCGCTCTCATTAAATTACTATGGCTACTAGTATCAATAAATAACATTTTCAAGATATTTTTTAGTTGTCACCATACACAAATATAAAAATTTATTTCAACTGTTATATAGCATAAATTATAATCTAGGTAATATAGAAAAAAACTTACCTTTTCAGCATAATCTACATTAATAAAACTGACCCCATAGTTTTCTTTCATGAATCCGAATACAAAATAAAATATACTCTGCTGACATTACAAAATACAACTTTGATATGGACCTTTTTCACAGTTTATCCAGCAACCAGCTATCCAACTTTTAAAAAGACGATAAATTGGCCTGCCGGTACTTAATATGCTGTGATCCAGATAGACCTACATACTCTCCAAAAAAATATTCCGATAGAAATAATTTTAAATTTTGTAGAATCTGTGTAGGATGAAAACGGTAATCATGTATATTTAGAGTTAATTATAGTTAATATAATTCAAAAGATATGTATGTACTTTTTTGTTACAGAACGATTAAATGTATTATACGAGAAAAATTGGACGCAACTTGTTACAGAACAACTGAAGAAATTTGAACGGTCCGTAGTAGAAAACGCCAGAAACGATGATTCTTTGACACTAACCGGAGCAAAATGGACTTTTGGTGGATCGTTACTTTACACAATCACTCTCCTAACCACAGTAGGTAAGAACAATTAATATATTACTTAATAAAAAAATTGTAGCAATAATTAAATTTTGATATTTTTTGATTCTAATATCGTTCCTTTAGCTACCGGGTGCGTCTAAAAAGTGGCTCACCCCCTATAACTTTTTTATTTTTTCAGATAAAAAACGAGATTTGGTATGTCAGTATATGACATAAATTAGGATTGAATAACGTATTCAGTTGTTTTTGGTCACTTCCTGTTTCACCGGAAATTACTACAACTTTTGATTTTTAAATGACACCTTCGGTATTTTTTTACTTTATTCGATAAAAAATGATATTCTGAATAGAATGACATATCATATGTCAACTTTTGACATTCTCGCTTAATAAAAATCTATTTTAAAATTTAATCTAGAGTGCCATGGCTATGTTAAAAACACTAATTCTTAATCAAGGAGCCTTGGAAAAATAGATTTGATCGTCTAATGTTTTTAGTATCTTATCCTGGCCAGTTAGAAAATGCTCAAATCGTATTTTTAATAATAATAATAATAATAATAAGCTTTATTCATAACTATATGGAGATACATTATGAAAGGGCGAAAGTGCAGTCTTGCTATTAAATCTAACCAGACTGTTTTTACACTCAACCCAAAAAAAAACAACAAAAAATATATACATATATACATATACACACGCCTTATCAATAAATATCTAAATCAAAATAGTTATTAAATTATTTTCTAACATTGCCAAAATCTGCTAAACAAAAATTATATTTTTTTTTCGACATTAATATAATAACATTGCTTAATATTTCTAGTAATATAATTATACTTAATGCAACAATAGAATTTGCTATCAATCCTACCAATATCTAATTAAACAGTTAAACCAGATATATCCATAATAAGGGCTAGTTTATTTGTGAGAGATGCTCTTTTAATAATCTTCTGAATACATATAGTGACGTTACAGATGTTATCGTACGAGGTAATGAGTTAAATATCTTGACTATATTATATGAGAAAGAACGCTTGAAAATTGTCAGTCTATAGGTAGGAGGAGTGAGATTACCTTTAAATCTTAAATTTAGGTTGTGAACATCTTCTCTAAAAGATATTTTCGGGTAGAGGTATTTAGGATGCTTAGAGTATATTCATTTATAAAATAATAAGGAGAAATGCATAAAACACCTTGTTTTTATATCAAGCCATCCTACTTCTTTTAGCTTATACGAAACGGGTTGTTGTCTTTTAATTCCGTAAGTAAAACGTAAACAATATTTTTGGATTTTTTGTATCCGTCCCGAATCAAAAGCGGTAAGGCAAGGTCCATAAACTATATTGCAATAATTGAACTTTGATAAAACTAGAGTATTACACAACAGTAGTTTGCTTTTTTGGTCTAATATATCTTTTGAGTTGTATAAGATTTTAAGATTATTTATTGCCTTCCTAATGCTACCCGTTACATGTGACTGAAATCTGAGATTGTTATCTAATATCAAGCCAAGATTTTTTGCCTCTGATTTAACTGGTATTGTTACATTGTTAATTTTAATGTCGACCATATTAGTAATATCCTTCCTATATTTTGATGAACCAAAAAGCATGGCCACACATTTATTGGGGTTTAAGGTCAATGAATGATCATGAGAAATTCCATAAATATTCTTAAGATCATAGTTAATTTTGTCACAACTTTCTTTAACTAAGTGTTTCGGGAAAGAGTAAAATAGTTGAAAATTATCGGCATACATTTGTGACTTACAATAAGTTAGAAATTTAGGAAAAATTGCTGTATAAATATTAAATAATATGGGACCCAAAATTGACCCCTGTGGCACTCCTCGAGTTAGAGTGCGGCATGAGGATGACTGATTTTCCAGTTTAACAAATTGTTTTCTGTTATTGAGGTACTGTCTAAAAAAATCCACAGCTGAACTAGTTAACCCAATATGTTCTAGAATCTTAGATAATGCTTTGTGATTCAGAGCATCAAAAGCTTTACTATAATCCAGTAATACAAGTAATGTAAATTTGTCTTCATTTATTGATCTAAATATATGATCTGTAACATTTAATAAAGCGGTAGTACAGCTATGTTCTACCCTAAATCCGGACTGTGTATCAGGCAGTATATTATTGTTTTCAATGTGATTGACCAATTGAATTTTCAATCATCATAATCATATCTTAATTTTTTCAAATAGAACGAGGGTGGCTCATTAGCATATTTGGAAAAATCATTTTTTACGAATAATTTGATACTACACACTTTGTATTTCGAGTCAAATTTTCGTTACAAACCGCCAGTTATAATTTCAAATAAACCATATGCGAAAATGCCAAAAATTGACATATTCAGAGTGTTATCTTCTACCGAATAAAGTAAAAAAATACCCAGGGTGCCATTTAAAAATCAAAAATTGTAGTCATTTCCGGTGAAACAGGAAGTGACCGAAAACAAGTGAATACGTCAATCAATCCGAATTTATGTCATATACTAACATACCAAATCTCGTTTTTTAACTGAAAAAATAAAAAAGTTATAGGGGGTGAGCCACTTTTGAGACGCACCCGGTATAGTTTAAAAATTTTCATAGCTTTGGATCAAACTTTCAAAATAAAAATTAGAGGACAACCATTTCTTGAATCTTCGCCCAAATGTCTAGAATTTACCAAAAAGTTATGTAAACGGTATGCGATTGATGGTCTTTCTTACTTTCTTAAAAATATTTATACCCAAAACTTTTTTGAAAACCAAATAAACTAAGCAAAAGTAACATAAAATAGTTAAACATGTTTATCGTTTCCACAAATATTTCTTGTACATAAATATTTCTTTATTTTCTTTTCTGTACAAACGAGTGGGAGTAGCAAAAGACACAGAATGACAATTTTTTAAAGCATTGTGGCGATATACGTTTTTTTCATATTTTAAGTTTGGGGCATGTAAAAAAGATGATTTTTTCAAAACATGAGAGAAAAGAGGATAGTGAGATAAAAAAGAAGACTGTCCTCTGGAATAGAGGACAGTTGGCAACCCTAGCTTAGCTGGCACTTTTAGTAATGTAACAAAAATCTAACTTTACCTACTTTTCGTATAAATATTATGACCGTAAAACTAAGTGGTGTTTAGCTTTAAAGTCTCTAGGATATTATATTATAACTTTTTTATATACTTCATATATTTTTAATGTCATACAGCTTGCTAAAAAAATTATAAAAATTGGGCTAAAAATTAATAAAATATAACACTTTAATTTTGATGCAAAATGTTTCCGTTGCATTTTGAGTGCAGTATAAAATTTATCAAAAATATTGCTTAATATAAAAACTTACATGTTATCCACTTTCTTTTTATTTACAGGCTATGGAAAACTCTCTCCAAGAACAGCGTTGGGAAAAATCATGGCAATACTTTACGCCTTAATAGGAGTACCTTTAATGTTGATCCTTTTATCAGAATTAGGTAGTATTTTGGCACATGGTGTAAGAAAAGGATATTTAAAATTGACGTTTTGTAAAAATAAAGAAAACATACCTTGTCCGACAGTGGGTTATCATAAAGCGCCAGCATCACCGTCTCATAACTATTACTGTAAAGGAATCGAAGGTAATATAAGTTATAGCTTAATAAAATGTTTAATTAAATAAACATGGTAGCTACTCTACTTTTAACAAATTGTAATCTTAAATGTCTTTGTGTTAATCAATATAAAAGAAAGCATACTCACAGTTTAAATACATCTTAGATTTAAAAAAATAACAAATTTACATGTGTGTCTCTATTGCAATTTATAACATACTAGCGTGTACCCGCGACTTCGTTCACGTCGAATTAATCGTTTGTAATGGTGATCATAAATCAAAGCAAGAATTTCCATTAACATACAAACTGGATAAAATTTTCTCACATTTATGTCAGCATGAGAAAAAACAATATGGCGATATTATTATATAACTTGGTAATATTTGAGGGGTAGTTTCATCTCGTTGGAATTTGACTTTCGAAAAATCCGTTTGCCAAAAATAAACTTTTTACGTCAAGCAGTTTAAGCAGAATCGTGGTTAAGAAATTACCCAACTTTTTGGAACACCCTGTATGATTTTTTTAAAAAATTCAAAATAGGTAAAAAAACCAAATAAATTATGCTTGTCCAACCGTTTTCCCGAAAGACTAACCGTTTTTTAAATAACAAATATTGTAATATTTGAGGGGCGTTTTCGCCCTCTTGGAATTTGAGATTCGAGAAACCCCTCCTTATCGAACCTCTACACCCCACAGTCAATCCGTTTACCAAAAGTCAGTTTTAAACGTTAAGCAGTTTAAGCAGTATCGTGCTTGCTCAATGGTCATATTTTCTGAAACACCCTGTATAAATTTATAAAAAATCTTAAAAAACAACAAAATAAAATATACGTGTTTAAGAGTTTTTCCGAAAAACTCACCGGTTTTTAAATAAAAATTATTTTAATATTTGAGGGATAGTTTCACCCAGTTTCACCCCCTTAGAATTCGAGTTTCGAAAAATCCCTTCTTATTGAAACTCTGCACCCTAAAGTCAATCTGTTTTCCAAAAATCAGCTTTTTACGTCAAGCGCTTTACGCAGGATCGTGATTAATCAATGACCAGATTTTTCGAAACACCCTGTATACATTTATAAAAATCTTAAAATACGTAAAAAAACAAAATAAAATATACGTATTTAAGCGTGTTTTTGGAAACTTGACCGTTTTTTAAATAAAAAATATTGTAATATTTGAGGGGTGGTTTCACCCTCTTGGAACAGGAATTTCGAAAAATCCCTCCTTATTGAACCTCTACACCCTAGAATCAACCTGAATGCCAAAATTGAGCTTCTTACGTTGAGTGGTTTGAGCAGGATCGTGATTAATCAGTATGGCAGTCACTTAAGGATTTTATATATTAGTATAGATTAATCATTAAAACATTTCGTTGAATTTACAATAGCAACGGTAAAATATAGCATTCCTTAAACTTTTACTTTACTGTAAAATTGCAAAAAAAATTACAAAATTTATAAATCTTATATTCTATACAGGGTCCGGCAATAGTGCGCCGAGTATCTGTAGTAGCTCCTAGAATAAAAAACTTGGGAATTTTGGTGAAGTGCAAATCTAAAGTATGTACTAGGATGTATTTCAGGAAAATATTTTAACTTCTATAGGGTGGCTCAAAAAAGTGTGGTGGATCGGGATGCCTTTTTTAAATGGAACACGCTGTATATTATTGCACTTTAGGCGTCCTTTCAGATCACTTTACATAATCCTAAGATATGAGAGAATATATTTCGATAGTTTTAGAGATATTAATAAATAAATAAAAAATATACATTTTTCAGCATTTCTTAAAAAAATATTAAAAATACTAGAACCTGTCCTGAAATAAAAACTATATTAGATATTTATTTTAAATGGTCTGTACCTACTTTGCTATAAATACGGTAATAGTAAATAATACAGGTTGTTCAAAATTCTACGCCAAACTTTCTAAAATATAAAATAGTTTTTCTTCGTTTTTTTTAATAAAATACCCTGTATATTATTTTTTCAGTAGATGGAAAATTAAAAAATGAACATTTTTTGCATTTAGAGTATTTTTTTCGGTTTCGCAAATAAAAATGAAAATATTCATTGTTTTATATTTTATATGGCATTTTCCACAGTAATCTTTTATCAAAGCCACCCAATGATTTTTCTCTCATATTTTACCATTGAAACAGCCATATAAAATATTACTGGGTGTATCTCCGAAACCATTAAATTTAAATACAAAAAATGTTTATTTTTGAATTCTCCGTCTAATAAAAAAATAATACACAGGCTGTTCCATTTAAAAAAACAAAGAAAAACTATTTTATATTAGAAAGTTTGACGAAGAATTTTGAACACCCTGTATGATTTAAAATTACGATATTTATAGCAAAGTAAGTACAGACCATTTAAAGTAAATACCTAATATAGTTTTGATTCCAGGACATTTCTTGTATTTTTAATAATTTTTTGAAGAAAGGTTAAAAAAAATATTTTTTTTAATTATTTTTTAATATCTTTGAAACTATCAAAACCTATTTAATAATATTTTTCGATTATGTAAACTGATCAAAAAGAAACCCAAACCAAGTTTTTTATTCTAGGAGCTACAGATGCCCGACGCACTATTGCCGGACCCTGTATAGGAAACTTTTTACTGATGCTGTGTTTAAACTCTAAAACTAGATACTTGGAGGATTGTTGCTGTTAGTCGTTTCTTTATATTTATAAACCGTATAATTGAAAAAAACGGTGTCAAATAAGGCTGTGAATAAAAATCAATAATAATGTTAGCGAGTCAATCTCTAGACGTCACTAACTAAAAATCGACATAAAACTTATAAAATTAACACTAATTATAGAAAAACTGAAAAGGATAGAACGTTTCTAGATACACAATTATATATCCAAAAAGTTTTTTTTTCTCGAATTTTAAACTATACCATTTAAAAATCATTTTTTTCTCAATATAAGAATTAACTACAACCTTATTAAGGCCAGTTGGCAATATACACCATTAAAAAAATAAAAAAGAACACGAGCCAAGTAATGACGTCTAGAACTTGACCTCGCCAAAATTATTATAAATTGTCATTCGCAGCCGTTCTTGACACCGTTTTTTTTTCGATCGTATGGTTTTTGCATGCGTTAAAAATGATTTTTAACTAACATTATGTTATAATTATTCGAATTCCTATATATGTTTAATATTAATTATTTGTTTTCTCATTCTATTTCTTTTTAATGATAATATAATTGTTATTCGCTAAAACTGTAAAATTTTATGAAAATTTGTAAACTTTTAATCAAGATTTTCTTTCATTTAAATAAAAACTTCCTTACATCACATTCAATTCATTGGATATATTTCAATCAGTTTTAAACCTAAACCTAATGTTTTCAGATAATTCCTCAATTCAGCTGGCTTCGACGCACGCTTCTCCAAATCACGTTAACTTCAAATCGAATCATACCAATCACTGTTCTGAATACTCCGACATGCCTAAACGAGCCCTTTTGGCTACAGTTAGGGCTAGTCATTCCAGGGGGAGATGTCGGCAAGGATCTGTACGACAAATATTAACAGGTATTATAAATTAATATGGTTAGATTATTATATAGATTTAGGTCAATAAAATACACTGCAGTGTTCCTCAGGAATATACATATCGTGATCATATATTATTCAAACTAAGGTCACAAAAAAATTTACTAGAATTTAAATAAATGTAATAATAAACATATTTGGTTTTATATAACTCCATGTAAGGTTTAAAAAAATAGGATTTTACACAGTTATGTTAAAACAACATAAACGACGGGCCTTTGTCTTGTGATAGGGACAAAATCTACTTTTTGTTCTTGTATTGTATACTGTAGTTTATTGTAGGTATTTCAAAAAATCACAACTGTGATAAATTTAATATTGAAAACAAAAAGGACACTTTCTCTTATATTGTGAGACTATATAAAAGATTAATTTTGAGACTATATAATAATTAGGATACGAATTTAACTTTTAATGATTATAGACTACTAACTTTGATAATATTTTGGTTTTTATAATATATTTGGATCGGATTAACCTTTTCTATTGAAGAGAGAAAAACTATTATATAGATATACATAATGTATTTGACTTTTACCGGCTAATAATTTTTTCAAGCACCTTTTAGAATACTCTTTAATCCTTAGTCAATTGGCATTACTGCGAAGACCAAAATATCTGATGCTAGAGTTTATATCTGCTTGCCATTATTTGATTTTAATACTTTTTCTTCCTGTCTCCATGTCTTCTTTGTTATGTGTTGACAATACAAGATGTAGGATACAAATTTAACTTGATTATTTAGCTTTATAAAAATGTGTTACATAAAATTATATTTTCATAATATACTTAGATATGATTCACCTTTTCTGTTAAAGAGAGAAAATTTATTATGAGATCGACACATACCCTGTATTATGTGATAGACACAATTAGCTTCGATTATGTGATGAGTTTGATTCCTACCAGCTAATAAATCTTTCCAGTACCTATTAGAATACTTTTTATAACTATACATTGACATTACTACAAAGACCAAATTATCTGATAACATTTTTACATTTAATTGCATTTGATTTTAATACTTTTTCTTCTTGTCTTCTTTGTTGTGTGTCGAAAATGTAAGAACTAGGATACAAATTTAACTTGATTAATTAACTTTTTAAAATTATATGAAGAAGAAGAAGAAGAAGGATTTTATATAAGCCGCATCAGCTGCTGGGCCATTTAGCGGCATTAATCAAATTAAAGTTAAATTAAAGTTAAAATTATATGTTCTTAATTAAAAGCCTGTTAAGTATTTGTAATGTCTTTTGATTTTCATAATATACTTGTATATGATTCACCCTTTCTGCTGAAAAGAGAAAATTTATTATGTGATATGCTTGACTCTTACCAGCTTACGAACCTTTCCAGTACTTATAAGAACATTCTTTAGAACTGTTCAAGGACCAAAATGTCTGATAATAGTCTACATTTAATTGCATTTGATTTTAATACTTTTTCTTCTTGTTCTTTTGGTAACATTAACCTTAAAACTTTTGTATAACTTTGTTAATATTTCACAACGCCTTTAACAAACACCTACACAGGGTGTTTTAAAAAACATGTGCCATCTCTCTTGGGGAGATTCCTCACGTAAAAAGAAGATATATACAGGGTGGTCCGAACTGTATTCCGGAAACTTCGGCAGCATATTTTACTGATAAAAATAAGTAAAAAAGTTTATATAAATGTATGTCCTAAAATGTTTAGTTTCAGAGATACAGGGTGTAGAAGTTTCATTTTTATTTTTATTTTTTCCAAATGAAAACTATAATAAATATTAAAACTTTAACACGCTGTAGCTACGAAACCAAGCAGAATCGGATCTATGTTGATATGAAGAATAAATCTTATTTTTACGTGAAGAATCTCCCCACGAGAGATGGCACATGATTTTTAAAACACCCTGTATATAGCCAATAAATTCAAGTTTTACATTTTAACATCCGTATATATTTGTATGTATTTAAAATAATAAACCCTAATTAGATAGTCTGCTCACAATTCTATATCAGAAACGGTGAATCATATCTAACTCTATTATGAAATCCAGAAACACATTACCTATAGTTAAAATGCAATATTTGAAAGTATTTAACTTTAAAACAAACCTACCATTAGTATTTCTCATGTTACAAAGCTGGTAGATCACTTCCTACTAAAAGAATTACTAACGCTTAAAAGACTATAAAAGTAGCACTTGCTTCGCCTGCAACCTAATATATTTTATCCAAGCTTCGATAAACTAAATTGGCATACAGATCTTTTTTCTACGTTGAAGACATTAAACATTGTGTCGGTGCCGTAAAGTACGCTTCAGTACAAAATTACTTTGTTTTATCTATTAGGCATTTTCCAGAAATAGAAAAAAATAAAAGATTTTAGTTCATTCAGGGTAAGCTGGAATATTGGCATTGAGAATTTAGAAATAATTAAAATCTTTTATACTGTTTATATTGAAACAAAATTGTCAATATTTGAAATCCTTAGTCAATTGGCATTACTACGAAGACCAAAATATCTGATGCTATAGTTTATATCTGATTGCATATGATTTTAATACATTTTCTTATTGTCTTCATGTATCCTTTGTTATGTGTTGACAGTACAAGATGTAGGATACAAATTTAACTTGATTATTTAGCTTTATAAAATGATATGTATTACATAAAATTATATTTTCATAATATACTTAGATAGGATTCACCTTTTCTGTTAAAGAGAGAAAATCTATTATGTGATTATGTACTAGACACAATTAGCTTCTATTATGTGAAGAATTAGGATACAAATTTAACTTGATTAATTAACTTTTTAAAAAAAAATTATATGTCCTTAATTAATAGCCTGTTAACAATTTGTAATGTCTTTTGATTTTCATAATATACTTGTATATGATTCACCCTTTCTGTTGAAAAGAGAGAATTTATTATGTGATATACCCATAGCTTGTATTATGTGATATACTTGATTCCTACCACCCAAGTAGCATTTATCTGACTTCGAACTAAATCTGACCTGAAGCGACGTCAGACTTTGTGCAAATTTTGGTCGGGTGCTGGTTATACGACCGGTGACGTCGCTTTCCTATTAAAAGCGACGTCGTTCGATCCGAGTCCAATAAATCCAACGATCTGTCGACGTACAAAATAACAACGTACCATTTTTATTAATTTCCCAACGTCGCGCGTCGTTCCCACGTTGGCTTGCACGACGTACATATACTTGAACTAGCCCGACGTCTACCCGTTGTCTGAATAGGATGCGTCTCACTGATAATCCCTAAAGTGACGTCCAATTATATTTTGTTGTATTTTATGTTTTTATTTATAACCTAATTTACGTATCTCTATTTACGTCCGTAAATACAACCCATTAAGTAGCATTTGCGGCCTAATGAACATCATGAACATAACCTAATAAAAAGTTTTTGTAAACAAACTTAATTTTTTTTATTATGCCTAAAAAATCACTAAAAAGGCATTTAGACATGCGTCTACATTTTACAGAAAGAGGTCGAGGCTTTTGCAAAATAATAATAGTAGTAGTGATATCTTGCCTTCACCCACGAATGTTTTTTTTTTTATCCGGAAGAGATGCTGCATTACACTGGTGCATCTTAATTTCATTTTTAAGCTTAGGAAACCCCATCCTCCTCCCACATGTGAGGTACTGGTTCCAATTCTTTTAAATTTTGTATATATACTATCTTAAAAAAGTTGCTGCCCATTTTTTTAAGGAGAAAACAAAAACTAAAATATAGTTGCACAAATCCACAAATCACTGATACGCAAAGTGAGGTTACGTGGCGTACGTTGGAATTATATACGTCATAGTACGATTGCCGGTCATCCCGTTTGATGACTTTGGTCGTGTGAGACGACTAATGTTGGAGACCCGGTCGGAATTGGTATAATGGTAGTTCATATAAAGTCGGACACAGAAATCGGCCATTCTTAACAAGTATCCTATTGTCAGCCATTTTAAAATCGTTTTTTGTTTTTAAAATTTATATTCACATTCCGATTTCTAGTAGAATAATATTGATAAGGTTGATTTTGGGGGGAACCACAGTACAGTTTTATGATTAAACCAGCTAGAAAATAAAAAAAATATTTTGCGAGTTACTTGTTTATAGATGTTTTTATTTTATAAATCTACCTAATTTTGAAGGCGCTCGTTGTTTTCCGGAGTATTTTAATCAGATATATAAAAAAAGTGACTTCCGTTGACAAAACTGATGCCTGGATTAATGACTCAGAATTATTATAATATGAAATTAGGTAGCCACTTATAGTTATATTCGAGGAGTTATTATGAATCCATTTGTAATTAGGTAGTTTGGTTAGGTTTTTATGTATTCTTGGTAGCGAATATGAAACCAAAAGTAACGTAAGTGCTTAGCGACGAATTTTAAGTGACTAAAATCCAACGTAATATGACGTTGGTAATTGGTAGAATTACATTCCCTATTAGGTCAGATACCGACGTCGAGGCGACCCGAATCTGTATTCCCCATTTAGGTGCAAATAAGGGTCGTCAGGCGGTCAAACCGACGTTGGTACCCGACGTCGGGTTTATTGAACGCGACGTATACCCGACGTTAGATAACGTCCAAATGCTACTTGGGCAACTTACGAACCTTTCCAGTACTTATTAGAACATTCTTTACAACTCTTCCAAGACCACAATGTCTGATAATAGAGTCTACATTTAATTGCATTTGATTTTAATACCTTTTTTTCTTGTTCTTTTGTTAACATTAACCTTATAACTTTTGTATGACTTTGTTAATATTTTACAACGCCTTTAACAAACACCTACACAGGGTGTTTCAAACAACATGTGCCATCTCTCGTGGGGAGATTCCTCTCGTAAAAATAAGATATATATATAAACTTTTACCCTCAAATTTCATTTGAAAACTATAATAAATCGAAAAAATATTAAGACTTTAACACGCTGTAGCTACGAAACAAAGCAGAATCGGACCT